GTGTGTTTTTTTTTTATTTTCTTATAATATCCTCCTTACTAAGTTTTTTCATGAGATGTTAGTTTAAAATTAAGTGCCATTTACAAAAATACCACCTAATCTATATGTACATATATATCTAACAGTTAAAATTTACTTCTACATTTATACAAACGCATTAAAATATCACCATTTTAATTTTCAAAAAGTGAAATACACATTTTCATAAAAATTAAATTTTAAATGTCACACATGTAAATATTAAAAAGTGAGTGATATGTATGCAAATCTTCTTAAAATTAATTGAAAGAATTTAAAACCCTTTTTGTGCTATCCTCTTTGTACATCTAAAGTATAACAACACGAATCTCGATGAAATTTGATCAAACTCGTTAAGAAGACAAGAGAGGACTGCATCGGAACAGTCAAAAGATAAAGGTGTCAAGCATCATTTCATTTCATCGGAATCATGAGCCGGTCAAAAGAAAGTACAACCAAATGAGGGAATATTATGCACTTGATCTGAAGAAAAGTTGTAAGTAATCATCACCTTGAACCGATTCTGGGATCCTTCATGATTATAATTAATGGTCGTTTCCTATAACATCTTTCCAACCCTCAATGAAGACATCTTGTCCGAAGTAGAGTTATCCATTAAATTAAGGCAACAGACTCTCTGCCTGATGGTCTAAGTTCAACCAAACGATAAAGAGGTCTTTACTAGAAATTATTTTGATAAGGTTGACTAAAGAACTTTCAGTCAACCGAAGGATGTTTAGTCGACCAAACGATTATCAAGCGACCGAATCCCAATATCACTGGATCATTAATACCCCCACTTCAAAAGGTTAAGAATACGAAACGGTGTCAACGACGGTTTCAAATATTAAGGGATCCTGAAATTAGTTACAAATATGTAAAAGTGTAACAATGAATCAATTACTTGTAATGTTCCCATTAAAACAAATACAAATATGTAACTTACACATCAACCCCTATGATCAATAAATAGGGGGGTTATTTCTTGAAGGAACCACTGAATTTATTTAAAAAAAACTTGTGTTATTATGCACTTCACTTCTCTTCCTCGTTCTATTATTCTCATCCGTCCAAAGTTTTGTTCCTTGGGAGAGATCCATAGGACGTTTTTACCCTTGAATGTCTAAATTGTCACTTTAGACTTTTTCAAATGTTAGAAATTTTTGTCTTAGGCACTTATTTGATTACCTTAAATTTTCTAATCATTTTTATTTGAATTTCCAATTTTCTAATTTTTATAACTGTTTCTTAAAAATAATTATAGGATTATTGGAAAATTTGTGATTTTTAGTATATATATATATATATATAATTTGGTGATAGCGTCACAATTACATGATCTAAATGTTGTATTTCAATTTATAATTATTAATAAAAAATTATTTTTATCTCTATTAATATGAATAGCAATCTCTTAGAGATGTAAATGAATTGGAGTCGAATTTGAGCAATTCTTTCTTATGTTTTAACATGATGAGTGATGCATCAATTTTGAACTCGAGCTCGAGCTTAAATTAATGATTTCAAATAGCTTATAAATAAGCTTGTTTTATATGAAAATAAAAAAATAATTTAATTCAGTTAATTTCTCCAATAAAATGACAAAAATACGAATAATTGGAAAAAAACATAAAAAAAAAAATAAACGAATTTTTAAGTATTTATAATTATTCATAGTTAAAAATGTGAATAATAAAAAACATTATTTTTTAAATATGACGGTTAAATTAGTGGCATCTACTAATAACGTTGCATAGCATCCAAATAAAATATAGCCAATAAATTAGAGTGGCTAAATTATGTAAAGCAGAGGCATTCATTGTCTTAAGATACGTATCAAATAGTTTTGTTATGTAACTTAAAGCAGTCACACGAGCTAAAGGACCAGAAGCTAACATAATTGGGCCTACTTTTGGTCTGAGTCAAATGAAATTGGGCTTCAAGATCATGACCTCAAAGGTAATCAAGCCTATGGACCGAGAGTAGTCTGCCATATGACGCGAATTACACCCATCCGTCAGATGGCTAGTTAAGAGTAGAGAGGGTGTTGGCTTTACTATTTGTGTGATTAGAAAGCCAATCAGATGTCCTTAAAAGCTTTCGTGTGCTTATTGGTAACAGTCAAAAGTAGCACTGAAGCTGCAAGTATAATGAATCTCAAATTTATTTAATTTTTCTTGAGATGGGTACAATATATGAAGAATTAATTATTAAATTATATATTACTCTCATTTTAAAATACATCAAATTATTTTGAGACTCATCCTAACAAAAATTTGGTCAAGATTAGGGCTGTCACGTGTTCGGCTCGTTGTTAAGAAGCTGGTGTTCGGCTCGTTCGCTAAGTTAACGAGCCGAACACGAATGACACGAACTAATATTTGTTTGTTCGTGTTCGACTCGTTTTGACTTGAAACATTACTAATCAATTATATATATCTTTGATGAGCATTTTTTTTAAAATTTAATTGACTACAATGCTGCAAAGATTTATAATCATTTAAAAGTATTAATGAAGAAAATAGAATAAAACTTATTAAATTATATTCAAATGATGTTTTAAATATTGCCCAAATCCTTAACAACTTTTGACTATGTGATTAGGGTTGTTAAAACAACTCTTCATTCGTGAACGGCTCCTGTTATGCTCGCTAAGCAAACGAGTCTAACACGAACACGCTTTTTGAGCTCGAAATATAAACGAGCCGGCTCAGCTCGTGTTCGGCTCATTTACACCCCTAGATAACTTCAGGATTTTTCTTTTCTTTCTTTTTTCCTTATAATCAATCACCTAACTTCAATTGATGTACATCTATCAATTATATCAGAAAAAAAATTCAAAAGAGATGAAATTAACATTATTTTTTAGAATGAGCAAAGTCAATGTCTAATTTTTTTAAGTATGAGATAAAAAAAATATATCGAAGGAGGGCAAAATTACGAAAATACCAAAACTACATAAGAAAAAAATATTAAAATTTATTATTTATATAGAGAAATTATAAATTTTAAGAGGGGCAAGGGGCGATTGCTCACCCTACATGTAACTTGGTTTCGTCCCGACTAACTTTAATGAAATGCAAGGTGTCTGTGTCACAAAATTTCAACAATAATGCGAAGGGAAATATGTAATTTTGTCCTCAAAATTTAGCAATAGTTATCTACATCATGCATTGCTTGGGCCATTAGCCCATCAGACAACCATACATTTCACTTGGAATAGTCTTTTCATAGCTTTACATTTCATCGTTACATGTCTAGTTAGTAGTAAATTTCTTAATTTGATTTTGAAACTTTTGTGGGGAAAGGCTTTCATATAGTTCTTGAGGTGGTAAGAAGGTTAGGAACTGAAAGAGACAGATGACACAATGTAAATTTTTTTTTTTTCTATGCTAAAAATGTTGTTTGAAAATGTCAGTTTGGTGATGAACAATCGAGGCTATTTATCATGATGCATCAAAGATTTACTCAATAATTTCATATTTTGAAATCGATAAAATGAGCTCAAGATCACTTTAATGTTATAAGGATACTAAAACTTATATGAGAAATTGGAGAGAGCTCAAAGGTTTGAAGAATTATTCAAATTAACCATCATCATCAAACTATCACCATCCGAGCACATTCATGGGTTAGTCGTTGCTTATACAACTCTTCTAGATAGCCATGATGAATCCTTTGCTGCTTGAACGTCACTACCCGTCCACTACCGACAGACAGTTGTCATCCAACCATCAATATTGAATGAGTGTTACTTGACTGTCGTCATTGGACCCCCATTGCGCAACCACCATTAGCATATTGATGATGCATGTCCACTCCTACCATGACTTTGCTGCTCGATCACAACCATTGAAGAACCACCATCATGAAGCAAATAGTAATTAGCCACTAATTTGTTATCGTGTCATCAACGATTTCCACCGCCCTCGTAGAAATATAAGAAGATAATCCACCCTCACGCAAGCCCATCTTTTTCCTATTCAAGAGACAAAAGAAATGTTAGAACTTATACAATTTTTTAACAGACTCATACAAGTGAATGTGTCAACTATTGAATATAAGACATTATGGTTGGAGATAAAGAACCATTCACAGTAGCCTACACTTACATAGTGAAATTATTTTGAACAAAGTAGGCTTAATATATATATTTTTCTTTTTTTAGTTTTTCATGAACATCAATTTTAGTGTCTCTATACCCTTTCTTCATTTGTTCTTGTGTGAATTTTTTGTAAGAAATTAAAACATAAAACTATCTTCGTCAATGGCTGCAACTTTTCTAGCAAACTAAAAAAAAAAAAAGTATAATGCAAACATCAATCAGTTCACTTAAGATTGACATGCTTGGTTAAAGTTCACACTAAATCCCTCAAAAACTACCATAAATTTATCCATGAATTTTCCTGAAGACCGAATTACATTCTGGAAAACATTCTAGTGCATTTAATAAAAATTAGAACACAAAATTGCCTTAATACATGGCTATAAATTTTCTTGCACAATAAAAATATTTAATACAAACATTAATTCGCTTAAGTTTGGCCTAATTGGTTAAATTTGACACTAAATTCCTCTAAAACTATCATAACTTATCCATGAATTTTCCTGATGAATTAATGTCTGGAAACATTTTAGTGCATTTGATAGTAGAAGATACCCTACCTTCACACAAAACAACAAATTTCAACCATATCATGGCTTCCATAAATCATATTAAACATGGCACAATTTCAAAGCATTAAACAAATAGACTTTAGATTAACCATATTGCAACAAATAATAATACATGTTTAAAACTAGGTATAAGAAAATAAATTGGCTTTAAAAAAAGGAGAAAGCAAAGTAGGAGAAGAAAGAAACATGGCACATGATGGTGCATAAGCCCTTGTCGGTGGTGATAGGCTACCAATTGGGTGGTGCAAGGTTTAAACCCTTATAGGTGGTTATGCCACTGCCTTCCATGGCCCCCGTTTTTTCAAAAGTTAGTTTAAACTTATGTAGAAACTATCCTTAGGTACTCTTAGTTGGTATAATGATATGTTTTTATGGGATATCTCCCCCTCTTTTCTTTCTTTTTTTTTTTTTAAGAAGTTAGTTTAAACTTATGTAGAAACTATCCTTAGGTATTCTTAACCCTCCCCCTCTTTTCTTTTTTTTTTTTTTTTAAGAAGTTAGTTTAAACTTATGTAGAAACTATCCTTAGGTATTCTTAACCAGTATTGTGATATGTTTTTAAGGTATAATATATTTAGAATTTAGCTAATGATATGCTGGATTATGAATGAAAAAAATCATAAATTAATTCTTTTGAGGGATGTTTCCATATTGTCTTACAAGAATAATTTATGATGTTATAATTAATTATGAACGATCAATTATTCCCTCTACTTATTATGGTTTTTTTATTTTTTAATATGGAGTGAGACACCATTCAAAACCTATTTTATCATATTAGTTTCCCACACCATCTCATACCAAATTTTTAGTGATATAAATATTTATTCTCTTTTCTCATTCTTTATATATTAGTATCCAATTAACATAATCATAAAATTATTTATATCATTTAGCATAAATTTAGGTCTAAGACATGAATCATTAAAAGAATAAGGATTGTGCTGGATATCTTCATTCTTTCACCAATTTTAGGGCATTTAGTTTTCCCTTATTGCACAAGAGGATCCACAGTGGGTTCTTCTAATTGCCCTTACGACTTTCTTACATCACAACATTCATATCATCTCATCTCAATGTTGCCAAACTTAGTGACCTTCGTATAATGTTAAACAACAATTTTAGTTATTCATTATTATTATTATTATTATTAGCATTATTAGCATTCAATTTTGGTGATAAACTTATGACTTTGATTGATTTACCAACTAGTATTGTCAATATGATTGCTCTCATAATGTCATGATACTTTGGGAGCTATGAAGACATTTCATACTCGAGAAACAAAAAATAATTGAGATGGTTGACAACTACGTTGAATTGCGAAGCTTAATTGGGGGATGTTCATTTTCCCTCACGTTTGACCTTATTGTGGTTTATTTGGAGCAATTGTTGTTGTTTGAAGAAGCAATTATGAATATGCTGTTCCAAAAGTTGTGGTGGCTATTACATTTTCTTTTTTTAAAGTTAGACCGCAGTTTTTTAGCTGCCAGGACAGGTGAACAGGTCTGATGAGAAAACACAACTTTTAGTTGTAATTTTTTTAGGGCACAGACAAAACACAATTTTGTGACAAAAAAAAATATATGTTACGACCCTACACACACACTCTTAATCCCCAACTTTGTTGCGCTTAACACTCAAATACCACAAAAGAATATATATATATATATATATATATATATATATATAGGTAT